ACTGTTCACAGGAGGAAATCAGTGAAGAGCAGAGAGGTCTGCCCCTGTTGTTGTTGTTTGTTGTTGTTGTGTGTGTTTTTGTTGTGTGCGTGTTGTTGTATTGTTGTCGTGTGTGTGTTGTGGTTGTGTGTTGTTGTGTGTTGTTGTGGTTGTTGTTGTGGTGTGTTGTTGTTGTCCTGTGTGTGTTGTGCGTATGTTGTTGTATTGTTGTTGTGTGTGTTGTTGTGTGATTGTTGTGTGTGTGTTGTTGTGGTTGTGTGTGTGTTGTTGTGTTGTCTGTTGTTGTTGTGTGATTGTTGTGTGTGTGTTGTTGTTGTGTGTTGTGTGTATGTTGTTGTATTGTTGTTGTGTGTGTTGTTGTGTGATTGTTGTGTGTGTGGTGTTGTGTGTGTGTGTTGTTGTTGTGTGTATGTTGTTGTATTGTTGTTGTGTGTGTGTTGTTGTGTGTGTTGTTGTGTGATTGTTGTGTGTGTTGTGTTGTTGTTTTGTGTGTTGTCGTTATGTGTGATTGTTGTTGTGTGTTGTTGTGTTTGTGTTGTGTGTGTTGTTGTTGTGTGTGTTGTTATGTGTGTAATGTTGTTGTTGTTGTGTGATTGTTGTGTGTGTGTGTTGTGTGTTGTTGTTGTATTGTTGTTGTGTGTGTGTTGTTGTTGTGTGTTGTTGTGTGTGTGTTGTTGTCGTGTGTGTGTTGTTGTTGTGTGATTGTTGTGTGTGTTGTGTGTGTGTGTTGTTGTGTGTGTTGTGTGTGTGTTGTTGTGTGTGTGTGTGTGTTGTTGTGTATGTTATGTGTGTGATGTTGTTGTTGTGTGATTGTTGTGTGTGTGTTCTTGTTGTGTGATTGTTGTGTGTGTGTTGTTGTTGTTGTTGTGTGATTGTTGTGTGTGTGTTGTTGTTGTGTGTATGTTGTTGTATTGTTGTGTGTGTGTGTTATTGTGTGTTGTGTGTTTTTGTTGTGTGTGTGTGTTGTTGTTGTTGTGTGTGTGTTGTTGTGTGATTGTTGTGTGTGTGTGTGTTGTTGTTGTTGTGTGTGTGTTGTTGTGTGATTGTTGTGTGTGTTGTTGTTGTGTGTTGTGTGATTGTTGTGTGTTGTGTGATTGTTGTGTGTGTTGTTGTTGTGTGTGTTGTGTGTGTGTGCTGTTGTTGTGTGATTGTTGTGTGTGTGTTATCGTGTGTGGTTGTTGTTGTTGTGTGTGTGTGTTGTTGTTGTTGTGTGTGTGTTGTTGTGTGTATGTTGTTGTATTGTTGTTGTGTGTGTTGTGTGATTGTTGTGTTGTGTTGTTTTTGTGTGTGTGTTGTCGTCACGTGTGATTGTTGTTGTGTGTTGTTGTGTTTGTGTTGTGTGTGTTGTGTGTAATGTTGTTGTTGTTGTGTGTGTTGTTGTTGTGTGTTGTGTGATTGTTGTGTGTTGTGTGATTGTTGTGTGTTGTGTGATTGTTGTGTGTTGTGTGATTGTTGTGTGTTGTGTGATTGTTGTGTGTTGTGTGATTGTTGTGTGTTGTGTGATTGTTGTGTGTTGTGTGATTGTTGTGTGTTGTGTGATTGTTGTGTGTGTGTTGTTGTGTGTGATTGTTGTGTGATTGCTGTGTGTGTGTTGTTGTTGTTGTTGTTGTGTGATTGTTGTGTGTGTGTGTTGTTGTGTGTGTGTGTTGTTGTGTGATTATTGTGTGTAATGTTGTTGTTGTTGTGTGTGTTGTTGTGTGTTGTTGTTGTTGTGTGTCATTGTTGTGTGATTGCTGTGTGTGTGTTGTTGTGTGATTGTTGTGTGTGTTTTCGTATTGTTGTTGTGTGTTGTTGTTGTGTGATTGTTGTGTGTGTGTGTTGTTGTCGTGTGTGTTGTTGTGTGTTGTTGTTGTTGTGTGTGTTGTTGTTGTGTGATTGTTGTGTGTGTTGTTGTTGTATGTTGTTGTGTGATTGTTGTGTGATTGTTGTGTGATTGTTGTGTGTGTGTGTTGTTGTTGTGTGATTGCTGTGTGTGTGTTGTTGTGTGTGTTGTTGTTGTGTGATTGCTGTGTGTGTGTTGTTGTATTGTTGTTGTTGTGTGTCGTTGTTGTGTGATTGTTGTGTGTGTGTTGTTGTTGTTGTGTGTGTCATTGTTGTGTGATTACTGTGTGTGTGTGTGTGTGTTGTTGTTGTTGTGTGATTGTTGTGTTGATGCAGGTACTTACTCGCTAAGCAGAGCGAATCTCCTCAGGCTGTCCAGGAACTCTCTGCTGCCTCCCTGATGGAAGTGCAGAGCAGGGAGGGGGGAGGAGGGGGAGGAGGGGGAGGAGGAGTCCTTCAGTTTAAAAAGCAGGAAGCTCCACCCTTCCTCCTTCACTGTGATGGACCTGAGGTCACTGACACTGAAGGTGAACGCCCACCTGCTCCTCTCATGGCTGTGGTTCAGAGAGCCTGACAGACCAGGGAAAGGGAACAGGGAACAGGAAACAGGAATCAATATTTATTTGATACTTACCACTGATCTGAGATCAGCACTTTGTTCTGTCTGTCAGAAACCACACACGTTCTGAGCCCATCAGTGTCAGGACTGTTGGACCGTAGAGGATCAGTATCAGCTAAAATAAAAATCCGATCCCGTCCCTCCTGAGTCTTTGACTCATCAGTGCCTGTGATTCTGATGTTGATGAAAACACTGACTCCCTGATCTCTGACTGTCAGGATCAGAGCTGAGAGTAAAAACCTTCAGGCAGCAGCTTCTCCTCTTTCTGCTCCACTGACGTCGGGAGCTCAGATCAGCTGATTTATGTTCATTCAGAACAAAATGAAACCGTTTTCAGTTTGAGTCTGAACTCATCCACAGATCATTTATGAGGAAAGAAGCTTCACTTTGTTTTTCTGTAGCTCAACATCCCCTCTTCTCTAATAAACCATCAGCTGATCTCAGGTCAGTTTCAGGAGTCACATTCTCCAGTTAAACTTTGATTCATCTCAGATCAATAGTTTCAACTTCAGGATCTGGATCAAGTGACTGCTGAAGAATAAAACTGAGACAGACTCAGTGTTTGCAGCTGTTATTTAATATACAGTTGGTAAATTTAAGTTTCAGACTCTGTGTCTCCAGATTATCAATATTTAAAGATTTGATGAACCTTGATGTGAATAAAAACCTGGTGTAAATCGTGTCAACACTTTGGTATTTTCCAATTAAACATGTGACACAGAAACATTTTCATTTCCTCCAACATCCAAAACAGATTTCTAACACTTTCACTTTCACTGTGAAGATCTTTACACCAGAACATCCAAGTATTTAAATGAGGAAACAGAGAAAAAATAAAGTGAATTAGTGCTGATAGTGTATTGACCTCAGAGTGGGCTGGAGCCATTTCTTTAGTGGATCATGCCGTGAAATATCTAAAGTAAAGTGAACTCACCCTCTCCATTTGTGCAGGGTCTCCTCTTGAAGGACACGGCGTTGACCATGTCCCACTCGGTCTCGTAACTCTGCTGAGTCTCTAACAGCTGGTGAGACCTGTCCCCTGGACACTGAGCCCACTCCATGACTGAACTGGAGTCCTGAAGAAGCACAGAGTGAACACCTGTTCAGACCTGGTATTAGCACGTGTCTCAGGTGATCTGATGGACAGCTCTATCTACAGGTGTGACCTCAGAGTCACTTTTTAATGTTGTGTATTAGCTGGATTGTTTTCAGCTCCTCTGCTTGTTGTGTATAAACGTGTCACAGCATCACCTGATATTATTTATCACACTGAACAGACACGGCTGAGAGGTGAGAGGGACAGGTGTATTTATGGGCTCTGACTGTCTTAAACAGTCAGACTTCAGATAAACGTCTAAATTCATCCAGTGAAACAAAGCAGTTTAGTTCTATCTATCGTAAGGCGGACTGTGCTGCAATGAATTCTGGGTAAATTAAGAGTTTTTAATAAAAAATTTAAAAAATTACACATCCAATCACTGAGCTCTGTTTACCTCAGCAGAACATGTTTGTCTTTAGGAAGAATTCAACAGTTAAAGGAAGTTTTACTTTGAAAATTCAGTGAAGAGTGAAACAATAAAAATAAAAATCTGATTTGGTCTAAAAACTGTTTCTCTTCTCTCTCCATAACAACGTTAGCAAACCACAAATTATGAGCCATGTTTTCCTGTTTGTTGTTGTTGAGTGCTGCTGGTCAGCGCAGGTTTCACTGATTGTTACCATGGTAACACTGGTCTTAGACCCGAGTTAGTCTGGGGGTGTGTCTGATAGCAGATGGAGCTGCAGCTGTGACACAGAACACGGAGGAGATGAACATGTAGTGAAAGGAAGTTAAACAGAAGCATCAGAGACCTGGAGCTGGTTCACTCTGACGGACTCAGGTGAGTCACTGCAGGTGTGTGATTTGTAAACAAGTGCTGACTCATGAGAACAGACTGACTGACGGTGTTTCAGTGACACAGCAACACACACAGCACACCCAGACAAACCTTTCCAGCACACAGCATGTTGGAGGGGTCGACAGTGTCCTCCAAAGGTCTGTACTCCACAAAGATCTCCCCATCCTGACGGTGTGGACAGAGACGTGGTCAACAAGTTACTTCACACACAGCAGACCAGGAACTGCACGATGACATTAAACTGTTTTACCAAGAAACTATTTATGACAAATCAATAACACCCACATTGAGCTGAAACATTCAGTCAATTAACAGAAAATTAACAGTGAATGATTTTGATAATTAAACGTAAAAATTCTCAGGTTCTAGCTTCTCAAAGTCTGATTTTTATTTCCTGTTTCTATCACAAGGTTTTGAGCTGTTGTTTGAATAAAATGACAAACAAATGAACCAATAATGAAATGAGTTGTTAGCTGCATTAATGAACACAACGAGGTGACAGAACATCTAATACCAACAGGACTCTGACCTTGTCAACAATCCGAAGTGACCCTGAGACGAGTAGATCCTGCTCGATGCCGTCCTCATCGCTGCTGCTGTGAATGAAGACGCCTTCGTGTTCAAATACAACCTGTGTGACAGACATTACATGAAGCTCAGTCACAGGACTACTTGTTGTGTTTCTTTGCTGAGGTCTTCTTCAGTGTGTATATGTGTGTATATGTATCTCTATATAGGTATATATGTATGTATACATGTATATATATATATATATATATATGGTATAATTTTTGTGTGTGTTTCGTTTTGTTTGCTGGGATGGAGGGAAGAGATAAGGAGTATGAAGATGTTCAGTGTACTCTTGTGCTTTGGGTCCATCTGTTGGTGATAGCTGATTATTGTGAAATAAAAAGAGATGGAATAAAATATACATATCTGGATCACATGACAGTTAATCAATACACAGTACAAAGGGCCAAAGTAGGGGAGCGTTCCTCTGGAGCCTCAGTGTTCGTGTTAAATGATGACCTGTCACCAGGCCCTGCAGTCATCAATCCACTGAGCTTCTGCAGCTGGACCCAGTACCCAGCATGCAATGGTGCTGACTCAACATGAGGCCAGACTTCTGTATATGCCACTTTACTATTGAACTTTTTCTATTTTAATAAGTGAATGAACTATATTATATCTCCTCAGGTCTAACAGAGGCTGATCCACTGGCGTGATTAGCCGTTTCGTCTGAATACCATGACCTGCTTCTCTGCCACCATCACTGTGTAACTGGCTCCACCAGTCTCACTAGCAGTCACCAATTAGCAACTGGCTGGTCTGACAAACCATGATAAAGTCTGTCAACAACCAACACAGGTTGTACTGTCTGCTGCAACATGAACTGCGTTTACTTAGCAGGTACACACAAATAACGCATGAACCTGCTCACTGCTACTGTACATGGTTTTGTATTAAAATATAGACTAACTGAAAGAGACAACAATATGGACAAATAGAGCTGGTAATTAAGTTTTTTTTTTATTGTGTTTCACTTTGTACAAATTTAGCATAGACTGTTCTAGTTTGGAGGAAACAGCAGTGTAAACAACCGAGAGGAGCAGACTTGGGTGAGGTCCATGTGTTTTATCTCACGGCACAGACCCGAGTCTGGAACCTGCTAACGGACCCGCGCACGGTGGTGACGGCGGTGACTTGCAAAAAGCGTTGTGCGGACGTTTCTGTCGCTTCTGTCCAGTCACTGCTGGAGAAACTCGGTGTGACGGTTCAAAAGTTTACCGTCGCCTCGGCGGCCCGCTCTGCCGACAACCGTCAGCTCGCTCCTGTAACATCATGCTAATGTTGACGTTAGCCGTTAGCACCTCAGCGGCAGCCAGCGGGGTAGACTGTGCGTTCAAACACAAAGTATACAGATGTTTCTGACGGCGGGAGCAGCTGGCGGCGGACAGTGGTCCCTCCGTGTCCTCACCCTGTCGCTGTAGCCTCGGTTAGCATAGCGGCTAACAACGGCGGGCTCACTAACCTGCGGTGTAGGTGTGTGTGGTGTGAACACGGAGCTGTGGCCGGTAAACGCTGAGCCGGAGCCGGTAACCGTGCCGGTTGGACGCAGACAACGAATAAAACAGACAGAGAGTGTGTCAGACTTGGTTAAAGTGGTTCTTACCTTCTGAACAGTCTCCTCCGCCATGTCGTCTGCCCTGTCTCCTGATGACGTCAGCAGCTCACGTGCCTGTCAACGTCCAAAACAAAACGGACAAGTCAGCTTCCGGTGTTCCAGTTAAACTGGTGGCCATGTTCTCTGGTGATCTTTGTTTACGTTTTAGCCGCAGTCGCAGATTCGTCATATCCACGAAAATTCTGCTTTTCAAAACTTACACTAAAAATTACAGAACGATAAAAACACATTGTAATTCTTGGCGCAAAATGGAAAGGAGAGAAAAGAAAACAAATGTACTTTAGTATTTAGTTACTCTGCACGACTTTCCCCTGGTAAAATAAAGGAATTTAAAAGAAAAATTTCTGCTTTTTGACAGTAACACAGAACATACAGTGATAAAACCCTCACCAGTCAAGCAGCACAGTGTTCCCATCAGTTTGATTACATCTCAGACTGGTTCTTTGTTTTGAAACATGCTCTAGGGTAAAAATCTTCTGTTGGTTCCGTTATACCTCCAAGTTCCCAGAGATTCAGAAACAAACCAGTTCTCCTGTTCTGGGATACTAACTTGTCATTTTCTCTATGATGTACGTGCTTTATTTTATCAGGAAGTCACATTGAGATCAAGTTGTCATTTACAAGTGAGACCTGTGACCCGAAAAAAATAAAATAAAATAAAAAAATATTAATAGTAGAAATACAAATGTTCAACGATTTAAATATACATTCAGCTATGTAGTCATACAAACAAGTGGACGTGTTTATATGTTAGTGTAAGTAACTGACAATCTTTATAACAGTCAAAAAGGCACAAATCACACTGAGGAAAAATGCAGAAACAATAGAAACAACTGAGCAACATAGATCAGATGAAAGAAAATGAATCATATAAATCAATCATATATATATATATTTTTATTTTTTTTATTTTTTTTATTATATCATTTCATTTAAATAGGCATCAAATATATATGCTGCGCTTTTAATAAACGACATTTGTGTGGACTGTAAAAAAATCATGGACATATATATATATATATATATATACCGGTCTCCTTATATGGGTTTCTTCCAGCCTCGTAAAGTCTCGGGTTGTCTCGCGGTAGTTGACTAAGGGAATACGCGAAGAAGAAGCAGTCGGTGAGCTGACTATCAGGGCGGACCGGGTTCAAACCAACAGTTGTTTCAAACGGTAAAATGGACGTCGGGTCCACGTTCTGGTGAGTTCACGGTCCGCAGGCCGCTGCTGACTTCACTACAACATGGACGTAAACACGGTTAGTCGATCTCCCAGAGAGGAGGGGGAGCTCGAAGACGGAGAGATCTGCGATGATGAAACCGAGGAGAGTGTGCCATTCCGGCGGGGGGATGGTAACAGGCCGGGCGGCCGCGGGGCTCCTCCACCACGGACACGAAAACCCCACCAACACCCGCCAAACATGCTGCCACACATGGGCCACCAGCCGCCAGATTTCCGCATCCTGATGCCATACAACCTCGGACCTCATGGACACGGCCCTTTCCCCCCGGGCCACAGGCAGCAGTGCGGGCCGAGCGGGCCCGACCGGCCTCCCTCTCCTCTGCCGCTACCTCTGCCGCCGCCGCCGGGTCACGGTCCACACGGGGAGCCCAGCCCGCGGTCCAGCTTCTGGGAGCGGAGCCACGGCGCCCTCGGCAGGTTCAGGCACCGGTCCATGTCGAACTGTGGCCGCGGGGCCTGGAACCGAGGTAACAGACCTCCCCCTGGTCGTTACGGGCCCGGAGAGAGTCACAGCAACAGGACTGACTCTCCCTCGAGAAAACGTATCCTTCCCAGGTCTCTCTAACTGTTTTATCCGAGTGTAAGCAGCCGTCAGGGGACAGTGATTAGAGTCCACCAGAGGTCTGTGGGGGTTTGACAGGCCACACATGAACCTGGACTGGTGGGTCAGACCAGCACCAGCCACAGAGTGTAGACTAGTCTGACTTCAGGCTCATGGTTGGGCTCTGATAAAACAATAATCACTGCTTTGATAATCAATTAATTAATGACACTGATGTCAGCTTCTGATCAGTATGTCCAGATGTGAAAAGTTTGTGTTCAGTGGTTTTTGATCCTGAGCTGGTCTGATGTGACCAGCATGGGAAAGCTGTGAAATCTTATAATAATGAATATCTATAATAATCTCAGAATGAAGGTTTCATGAGTCTGAAGCAGTTTCAAACAGAGTCAGATTTTTAATGAAGTCCAAGTCTCAGTGTAAATGTGGTTTGTAAACTGCTCTGTTGTTGGAGAAAACAGTGAACGCACCATTGATTCACTTTAATAAACAGAATGAAGCTTTCCTGAATGTGAAACAGAGTAAGTGTCCGGGCTGTAGCTGATGCGTGAGGCTCATTATCACTGATGAATCACACACTGACTTCAGCCTCGTCATCATGAATCAAACAGATAAGGTGGAAAACACCAGCTCTTCGTCATCGTACAGATGATCAGCACATTAGATGATGATGAAAATAAACATTTTATCTGACACTGATCAGGTGAATTTAACCCCCATTGTCCCTGTGTGTTAATCTGTCAGGATAACACTTAAAGGGCCAGTTGTCCGTGTTAGATCACATGTAGGTCACACTGTGCAGCTGGACCTGTTAAAGCTGCTGTTGCTAAGGAAACGAAACCTAAAGTCGATGACGGTAACAGCTGAGTAAAACCAACTTCCTGTCTGTCGGCAGCGCGGTGGATCACTGCACAGAACAAGTTGAATAAATGCTTTCTGTCTTTTATGGAGGAGAAATTATTGGATAATCTGTTATTTTCTTTAAACCTACAGAGAGAAGTGAAACCTGTCACTTCCTTATTGAACAATAGTGTTTATAAGCCGCTCCGCTGCAAATATTTCAATTCACATATTTTGTGACAAATAATTTTCTGACATTTTACAGAATAAAAATAAAATGTGATCCATTAATAAATAAAATAATTGGTCAGATGATGCTAATCGTTATTTGAAGCCAGGTTTGAACAATTAATGGAAATATTATGGAAATCACAATGTGACCAGGTGAAATATCCAAATCACAGGAGCTGTGTTTTTTAGATGAAGGTAAAATGTGTCACAACAACAACAACAACAACAACAACAACAACAGACCATCACTGAAGCATCATGAAGCTGCAGACGCTCCGGTCTCTAGATATTTTCCACAGGGGAACATGTTTGTTTGGTACCAGATCCAACAACAATCACATCATCATCATTTTTCTTCCTCCACGCCAGCGACCGTCAGAGCGGCGGCCATTTTGTTTTCAGGTTGTCTGTACGTCCGTCTCCTTGTGGACACGATATCTCATTAACTCCTTCACGGAACAAAACATTCACTAGGACTCGGAGCTGAGCTAATTAGATTTGGGGGTCAAAGGTCACAGTGACCTCACAAAACAGTTTTGGCCTTGTGAACACCATACCTCCACAGCACCTGGAGGGAATCCTTCAGATTTGGCACAAATGTTCACTTGGACTCAAAAACAAACTGATTAGATTTTGGTGGTCAAAGGTCAAAGGTCAGTGTGACCTGACAAAACACTTTAACCATCACTCAAGCCTTCACAGCATCTCTGACCAACTTTCACACACATGTTTATGTTTTCTGTGACTCTGGATGAACAGGAAGTGATTCTATTTATATTTTTTAGTGAAAATGGAATGAAATGAAAAAACGTCGCTCCAACTAAGATCATGACTGACTTTGTGTTCATCATTGAGCTCTATGTGCAGCTGTTTCTCTTCCTTAACCCGGCCTCAGAGAAGCTGCTGGGCCGGACTCAGACCAGGAAAGCAGCTCACAGTGTTTCCAAACCTGAGAACAGTGTTGACGAGTCCTTCGAGGACTTGCTGTCCAAGTATAAACAGATTCAGCTGGAGCTGGAGTGCATCCGTAAAGAGGAGACCATGGCCCTGGAGCCCAAAGCCTCCCCCGTCAGAGAGGACACCCCAGACAACGCTGCCAGTATTACAGAGGCCAGACCGGCGCCAGAAGCGGCTCACAGTCCAGCGGGACCCGAGGATCCGTCGGAGCTGGAGAAGGCCGAGAGGAAAGTGTTCCAGGCGTTCAACATCAAACCTCTGCGTCAGAAACTGCCCACTCCCGTCAATCTGGACGAGCTGAAGAGGAAGTGGGCGGGGCAGGACGGAGGAGGCGGAGCTGTCAAAGAGGGTGAGTGTTTGTTCCTGTCGCGTTGTGACGCTGGAGTCACAGGTGTTGAAGCTCAGTGACGGGTTAGCACTCAGAGGTTTGAGCTCAGGTGTGGTGTGTTTACAGGTGAAGGAGAGGAGAAGATGGACGATGGAGGAGAGACGGAGCAGAAGCCGGAGGTGGAGGTGGAGGAGAAGACGTGTTTGTGCTGCAGCGAGGACACGGACAGAGACGAGAAGGACAAACCTAAAAAGACGTGTTCGTGTCGCAGAGAGTCGTCGGCCTCCAGCGAGGACTCCCTCATCTCTCCTGACAAGGTGGGGCCGGGACCGCCGGTGTGTTCAGTGACCTCTGTAAGAGTCTGTATGTTTAAACGTTGTGTGGCTGTGTGTTCAGCAGCCGGCGGTGAAGGTGGAGGAGGAGGAGCTGTCGGAGCTGCAGCTGCGTCTCCTCGCTCTGCAGTCGGCCAGTAAGAAGTGGCAGCAGAAGGAGCAGCAGGTGATGAAGAAGAGTAAAGACCGAATCACCAGAGCCGCCCAGGAGAAGAGCTCCGCCCCCGCAGCCGCTCCCCCCGGCAGGCAGAGGGTCACCACCAGGTCCGCCTCCTCCGCCACAGCTGCTGCTGCTGCTGCAGAGAGGAACAGAACCAGGTCCAAACCTCTGGAGAGGGACAGAGACAGGACCAAGGCTGGACCCAGACCTCCAGACAGAGACAGAGAGAGAGTCCCAGAGAGAGACAGACCAAAACAGAGTCCGAAACCTGGTCCCAAGTCTCTGCTGGAGAGAGGCAGGGCTGCAGGGAAACCCCACCCCAACAAGAAGATGATCAGTCCAGGTGAGAGGATCAGAACGGGTCAGACTGAGCCGGTCTTCACCTGCAGTCTCTAATCAGTGTCTCCTCTGCTCTCAGGCTCAGCCGCCAAGCAGGCGTTCAGGAAGCAGCAGCTGAGGACGTGGAAGCTGCAGCAGCAGAGGGAGCAGGAGGAGAAACGCCGCCAGGACGAGGAGGAGCGGCGAAAACGAGAGGACGAGATCCGGCGAATCCGAGACCTGTCCAACCAGGACGAGCAGTACAACCGCTTCATGAAGCTGGTGGGAGGGAAGATGAGGACGCGCAGTAAAGTGAGAGGCTCGTGTGTGTGTGTGTGTGTGTGTGCGTGCGTGCGTGTGTGTGTGTGTGTGTCTCATTGACTGATCAGTTTATTATCAGTTCATCTTAATCAATTTGTGCTTTGATCAATAAGAAAATGATGAAAAACAAAGTGACAGTTTGACATCTGTCCTTCAGTCCAGAGACCGTGAACACAGGAAGTCCACAGGTAAACAAGGCCTGGACGCCTCAGGGAACCTCTACCAGTACGACAACTACGACGAGGTGGCGATGGACACGGACAGTGAGACCAGTTCACCAGGTGAGGAGACAGAGCTCCGCCCTCCTTCACCTGTTCAGTCTTTATGTGACAGTCGCAGATAAACTGCACATTTCCATGATCTCACACCCAGAAATACACGAACCAGTCTCCTCACACATGATCCTCAACAGAACAGAACCAGGTCCAAACTGACAGTGACCATGTGACCTCTGTCTGTTTTCAGTCCCGTCTCCAACACACAACCCGTTCAGCGCCGACGACCCGGGATGTTTCCCTCAGGTGTCTCTGTACATGACGGACTCTGCTCAGTTCAGACTGGTACGTGTGTGTGTGTGTGTGTGTGTGTGTGTGTGTGTGTGTGTGTGTGTGTGTGTGTATAATGTCTTTTGTGACGTGTGTGTGAAGTAAACTCCATCTATCTTTCCCTCCCTCAGGATTTCTCTCAGCCCTTCCTCTCCCCCATGTTGTCCGGTGTCCCTCCCCCGCCTCCCCCTCTCCCCCCTCCACCAGACGAGTTGGAGCCTCCCCCCAAACCTCCCTTTGCCGATGAGGAAGAGGAGGAGGAGATGCTGCTGAGGGAGACCTGTCTGATGTCCATGGCCAACAAGAGGGTGGTGGCGCCCGAGGTGCGTTACTGACTGTGAACACTGGGTGGTGCTGTTGTTGTCCTTTGTATTTATATGACAGTGTCTGTGGATGATGATGATGATGGTGATGATGATGTATGTTTCCCTCCAGGAGAAGAGCTCCAGCGCTCCTCCCTCCCCGAGCCGTCAGCCTCCCGCAGGCGTCCAGCAGCCGCCCAGAGGAAACCTGAGCACCGTCAGTCTGAACACGGTGTCTCAGCCACGAGCCAACAAGTTCACCAGAGGTCATCACGCCCCCAGAGCGCCGCTGGTGGTAAGACCCTGAGAAAGACGTGCTCCTGTAACACGCCTCCTCACTGTGTAGTAACACCTGCAGTAACAGGTCAGGTGATCAGATCTCACCTCCTCACGACATGCGTCGTTTCTGTCAGAGATCAGCTGATCAGACTTTATTATATACATATAATCTTATTTTATATATATAATACTAGATTAGATACAGCGTCTCACACACACACACACACACACACACACACTCACACACACACACACACACACACAGCCTCATGATGTCAGCGTTATCTGCTCTGTTCTCTGCAGCTGCCCAGACACAAGTCCGTGGTGGTTTCTCTCAACGACTCTGACGACAGCGACTCGGACCTGGACGCCTGCAGCTCCACACAGGCCGTGTTCGGAGGACTGGAGTTCATGATCAAAGAAGCCAGGAGGAGCGTGGAGGTGGGGCTCTGCACCTGCTGGAACACGACCATACAATTAGAACATTCACTCAAGACAGGCGGGGATACAGGTGTTACAGTCACCTGATCGTCGTCATTTAGTCCAAAACGTGAGAGTGAAAGGAGGAGGAGCTTCAGTCACATGGTTTCTACTGGTTCTGTAGCTCAAAGTTCAGACAACGAGAGACCATCAACAGTTCTGGTCCCGGTTGATTCACTCAGTTATTGTGTCTTTAAATCACAAACTCGTGTTAATGAAGAGGTCAGCTGATCACTGGCTGATTTTCCCGCCTCACACAGGTAGGTGTTGTCCTGTGTGAGGACGAGCAGATCTCAATGTAAACACACTGAACAGCAGGAAAGATGCAGATCAATAAAATCTAATCTTGTCTCTTAATGAAGGTTTTAATGATCTTAATGAGTCAAGAACGAAACTTGATTTTACAAAAGGTCCAGGTTAGTGATTTGTCCAGTGGAATCAATTAAAACAAGAGAAGACAAAACAAAGACGCTGACTAATTAATCAAATCAAAGAGAAGTAAAACATCCTCTGATGGATGGAGGATCACCTGCTCTGTGTCTGTGTTGATTCGTGATTTGAACCTGTCGTTTCCAGGCTGCGAAGCCTAAAGGAGCCTCCGGATCGGAGAAAGAGAACAACCCGGTCAGGACTCCTGAGGCGCTCCCAGAGGCCAAGAAGGCCGAGTACCGTCTGCTCAAAGAGGAAATCGCCAGGTACCAAGATTTCAATCAAATACTGTCATTAACACAGAGAGAGATCAGCCGTCGTTAGACTAACGAGTGACATGGTTGGTGCAGCAGGGAGAAGCAGAAGATGCTGAAGGATCACAGTCCGAGTCCTCGGAGCTCCGCCTCCCCGGCCGGCTCCGAGTCTGTGCTGGATTCATCGGGGAAAAGTGCTGCAGAGGTGAAGCTGAGTGAGGCCGAGCAGAGACTCAACAAGAACAGGTGAGCGACACTGAACCACGAACACCACGTCACACAGCACGAGTTCACACGTTTGGAAACGTGTTGAGCCGTCTGCACCTTTTATCACCTGATCCGTGGACGTACGGTCGGGACATGTCCTTACAACTTTACATTATTACATCGTTGTTGTTTTGTTATCGGGAGGGTTGTTGTGTCCCTAACGATGCCGAGACCAAACCTACGCCATGATCTGATCAGAGAACCAGGTGTCAAAGTGTCGGACTGTGACTCTCACCTGCTTCACAGGGAGCTGCTGCAGAGAGACGAGGCCGTGCTCAGACATCTGCTCCAGCAGGAGCTGAAGAAGAGAGAGTCTCTGAAGGCCGCTGAGGCCAAAGTGGCCAAACTGAGAGAGCAGCTCCAGGCCTCAGACAAGATCGTCAGCGCCAACAAGACGCTGCTGAAGAAGCTGCAGGAACAGGTGAACCGCAGAGGGCCACGCCCACAGCCGCCGTTCACTTCAGTGTGTGGTCTGTACCTCAGTCTGACCTCTGCTGCTCTGTGCAGGTGCATCGTGTCGAACACAGAGTGTCCATAAAGAAGAGTCTGGCTGTCAGGCTGGAGCAGGAGCTGGCTCAGGCGCAGCTCGCTGCTGGAAGAGGATCCAAGCGCAGAACAGACAACCACACCAACCTGGTGAGGAACACACCTGAGCTACTCTGCTGCCCTCCCGGGGAACAGGCAGACATTTCAGCAGCAACCAACCTGCTGATTGTTTCTTCATTAATTCAGCTTTTACTGCATGAAATGTCCAAACTGACACCTCATATATAAATATTCAGTTTGTAACGAGAGAAAACAGGAAAACAAACTGACATTTTAGAGATTGCTACTAATGCTAATGCTACTGCTACTACTTCTAATAATGATAATAGTAAGTAGGTGAGGAGCTCATGAAGTGTTGGTTAATGTGTCATTCACAGTGATTTAAGCCTCAAACTGGTTTTAACTTGTGGAGAGTGCTGTGTGAACACAGGTGACTGCACTCCAGGTAAACAACAACGTACATAAATAATACTGTGTAGAAGATGCTCCTCTGCAAATATTCAGACGTCCTTTGTGACTGAACAACAGTCACAGCTCCACTCACGCACAGAAAAGTGAACTGAGAGAGATGACACAGGCATGAACTCATCAGATGTACAGGGCTTCACATGTGTGCATAATGAGCGTGTAATGAGGCTGTAACTTGGACTGTGTGTGTGTGTGTGTGTGTGTGTGTGTGTGTGTGTGTGTGTGTGTGTGTGTGGTCCTGACTATTTGAATCTTTGTGTCCTCTCAGCCCAGTAAGCTGCAGCGTGTGGACGGCGCTCCTCGCGGCTCAGAGCGTCACTTTGCAGAGCTGATTGCTCAGAAGCAGCGGCTGCAGCAGCTGGAGTCTGAATACGCCCTCAAGATCCAGAAGCTGAAGGAGGCTCAGGCCCTGCGCAACAAAGGAGCGACACCAGAGCCGCCTGCAGAGCCGCCAGTACGAGCTTCCACCCCCCCTGACCCTCAGATCCAGATCCCACACCCCTCCCCCTCCAGCCCCTTCCCTCTGCCCCAGCCCTCCCTGCACGACCTCACCCAGGACAAACTCACCCTGGACAGCGAAGATGTCGCTGAGGCCGAAGATCACGAATCAGAACCTGCAACGGCAGCGGCTCCTGCCCCCGCTGCTAAAGGCCCCCGCCGACACTCCCTCCGTCAGTCCAGCAGCTCCTTCACCAAACCCAACCTGGAGCAGCTGAGCTCCACTCCAGCCAAAGACAGCAGCACCGCCAAACCCGCCAAGACCGCAACCAGCTCCGAGGCTCCCGCAGAGATGTTTGCAGGTCTGGACCTGGACGCTCTGAAGCTGAGGTACCAGCAGCAGGCCCGGCTGGGAGAGCTGCTGCTGACGGAGCTGCAGAACCTGGAGGAAAACGATGACCGCCCCCCAACTGGACAGGTGACACCAGAACTTTTATTTTTTTATTTTTTGACTCATAGAATACAAACAGAAGAAACTAAACCAAAGTTACATGATACTAATATGAAACCAGTCCTACACCAATGTAACCTTCAATCAGTATCAGCCTAAAGTCCTGGTGATATGCTTGAACTTCATCTGGGCTCCAACACAAATATCATTCAGTGGTAGAAAACACACACTGAAGTAAAACATTCATTACTCTGTGTTTGTTTTATTCATCTGAAAAATGTCAGAAAATAGTGAAAACTTGTTCGTTATCATTTCTACCAGATGTTGAAATTTCTTGTTTTGTCCAACAAACATCAAGAACCTGAAGAGCTTCAGTTCACTGTGATTTATGACGAAGTAAAGCATCAGATCCTCACGTTTGGAAACAGCAAATTTAGATTAAATGACTGTTGGTGGTTATGTGATTATCAAAGTAGTTGCTGATTAATAATCAGTTGATGGTTTAATCATTGCAGCTCTGTTTGAAACTGAGAAACAGATTGTTTTGATCTCGATGTGAAAACGTAAAAATGGTCGCATCATGAGCAGCAGCAGAGACGCTTCAGAACAACATCACACGTCTGTTTTTATATGTGGAACAAGTTGAGAATAAAAAGTTTTAGCTTTATGGATGATGGATGGTGGTTGATGGATTGTGGATGGTGGTTGATGGATGGTGGTTGATGGATTGTGGATGGTGGATGGTGGTTGATGGATTGTGGACGGTGGTTGATGGTTGGTGGTTGATGGTTGATGGACGGTGGTTGATGGATGGTGGATGATGGATTGTGGATGGTGGTTGATGGATGGTGGACGGTGGTTGATGGATGGTGGACGGTGGTTGATGGTTGGTGGTTGCTGGTTGATGGACGGTGGTTGATGGATGGTGGACGGTGGTTGATGGTTGGTGGTTGCTGGTTGATGGACGGTGGTTGATGGATGGTGGACGGTGGTTGATGGTTGGTGGTTGCTGGTTGATGGACGGTGGTTGATGGATGGTGGACGGTGGTTGATGGTTGGTGGTTGCTGGTTGATGGACGGTGGTTGATGGATGGTGGACGGTGGTTGATGGTTGGTGGTTGCTGGTTGATGGACGGTGGTTGATGGATGGTGGACGGTGGTTGATGGTTGGTGGTTGCTGGTTGATGGACGGTGGTTGATGGATGGTGGACGGTGGTTGATGGTTGGTGGTTGCTGGTTGATGGACGGTGGTTGATGGATGGTGGACGGTGGTTGATGGTTGGTGGTTGCTGGTTGATGGACGGTGGTTGATGGATGGTGGACGGTGGTTGATGGTTGGTGGTTGCTGGTTGATGGACGGTGGTTGATGGATGGTGGACGGTGGTTGATGGTTGGTGGTTGCTGGTTGATGGACGGTGGTTGATGGATGGTGGACGGTGGTTGATGGTTGGTGGTTGATGGTTGGTGGACGGGGGTTGATGGATGGTGGATGATGGATTGTCGATGGTGGTTGATGGATGGTGGACGATGGATGATGGATGGTGGTTGATGGTTGGTGGTTGATGGATGGTGGACGGTGGATGGTGGACGGTGGATGGTGGTTGATGGATGGTGGTTGATGGATTGTGGATGGTGGTTGATGGTTGGTGGTTGATGGATGGTGGACGGTGGATGGTGGACGGTGGATGGTGGTTGATGGATGGTGTTGGTGGTGACCGGTGGATTGTGGACGGTGGTTGATGGATGGTGGACGGTGGTTGATAGATGGTGGACGGTGGTTGATGGGGGTTCCCACACTAACGCCTGCTGTCTGGGTCTCTGTCTCTGTGCAGGTGCTTCCAGTGGAGATGGAGGCAACAACAAGTCAGTCAGGAAGCTCGGAGCTGAGACCTGTTCCCTTTGGAGCGTATCACAGCCCTCTGCTGGTCTTCAGATCATACAGGTAGACTCCACATCAACACACTGAAAACTGACTTTACAGCTCCAATAAAAAGTAATTGACCCTCCTGATGTTTTACTGTTTTATGGCCGTGAATCAAAGCAGATTTAATGTGGATCTTCTGACACAGATTAACAGAAAAAGAGCCTTTAATGTCAAAGTGAAAACAGATCTCTGTATAATTACTAACATGTTTGCAGAAGTAATAAGACTGAGCTAACTCCTCACAGCTGCAGTGAACTGGAGTCAGAAGTCACATCATCAGTGACACTGTGTGTGGTCAGAGGTGTCAGCTGGTTGTCCTGTAAATACCTCTGCAGTATGAATACAGGTGTATGTGGAGGGTCCAGCCCAGAGAGAGTCACCATGAAGACAGAAACACTGAAAAACAACCGTGTGTGTGTGTGTTGTCTCTGCCAGGTTCAGTCCGTATTACAGGACCAAGGAGAAGTTATCACTGAGCTCCGTGACATACAGCAACAGCCTTGAACCCAGGAAGTGTTTCTGCCGCTTCGACCTCACAGGAACCTGCAACGACGACGACTGCAGATGGTGAGAATCATCACGACCGACTGATTTCACTCTGACAACCTGCTGCTGTCTCCTCTGTGTTTAATGTCTGCGTCCTCTCCCTCTGCACCGCAGGCAGCACATGAGAAACTGCACTCTGACTGGAAACCAGCTCTTCCAGGACATCCTGTCGTACAACCTGTCTCTGATTGGCTGCTCTGACAGCAGCTCGGACGATGACATCAGTGTTGCCACAGGTGAGAGAGAAGCATTTCCTCTCTACACTGGTGTATCCACAGACTGCTGTCTGAAATGTTTTGTCCTCTGAAGTAGACTCCAGTCAGACTCCGGTCAGACTCCGGTCAGACTCCGGCTGCTGGTTTTATATGTTCTGCCTGTTTTGTAGAGAAATACATGAAGAAGCTGTTTGGCACAAACAAAGGTCGTATGGGCGTCGACCAGAAGGCCGTCCTCCTCGTCAGCAAAGTGAACGAAAGCAAACGACACGGTGAGTCATCTTCTCTCTGAACGCTCTCGTCACCACGGAAACTGTTTCCAGACGTCTGACTTCTGGTCCGGTCTCGTTCTCCAGTTCCTCCCTTCACCACCTGTAAAGACGTGAGGAGGTGGAGGCCCAAGCCGTCGGCTCAGAGCGGCCTCAGCCCCGAGGACGACGGCGAGCACGAGGCCGCAGGCGGAAGCGTCACAGCTGGAGGATACGGTGAGGACGAGGGTCACTGAGGGTTTAATAAAATACTTTATCAGCTTCTTCCAGACAAACTCCTGCTTCGCCTCCATGTTGTCCATTCTCCCTCAGATATAATTCTCCCTCCGTCCGTCTCCCGCTCTGTCTGAATGTACGAGGCTGACTTTCATAGAAACATGAAATGATTCTGACCAGGATCAGTTCTACAGTTTCAGCTCCTGAACATCTGGATGTTTTATGATGAACAGCTGGAGATAAATCCCTCATGTTTGTGTCTGCGCAGACGACTGCTGTAAGACCAGCCTGTCTGCGTTAGACGTGTGTGTCACATCAGAGGACAAGCGTTACTTCATCAGCGAGACGGACGACATATCAAACCTGGAGACCAGCGTCCTGGAGAGTCCTCGAGACACTCAGCTGTGGATCAAACTCGCCTTCAAGTACCTCAGTCAGAATGAGACGTACGTCACTGAGCCACCAGCTGATTCAGTCTGTCCTTCCACTTCTTTATACGAGGGTTTAATGTGTGTGTGTGTGTGTGTGTGTGTGTGTGTGTGTGTGTGTGTGTGTGTGTGTGTGTGTGTGTGTGTGCGCGTGTGCGTGCGCAGGTCTGCAGCAGAGTGTTTGGAAGCCGCTCTGAACACGCTGTCTCGTGCTCTGGAGAGTAACTGTGACAACCCGGAGGTGTGGAGCCACTACCTGTCCCTGTTCTCCAGGCGAGGCAGCAGGGAGGAGGTCCAGGAGATGTGTGAGATGGCTGTGGAGCACGCGCCCGACTACAGAGTGTGGTGGAACGTGAGTCCTCAGACCTGCTCTGAACACCCATCACAGTTTATTCATGTACATTTCTTCTCATCGTGGGAAAATGTGTCGTGTGACGTTGTTGCTGCAGTATTTGAACCTGGAGAGCTCGTTCGAGGGGAAGGACTACGTGTGCGATCGTCTGCTGCAGTTTCTCGTCACAGAGGCGTCACCGTCTTCAGGCGTCACGGACAAACTGTCCTTCCAGCTGATGGAGTCTCTGCTCTACAGAGTTCACCTCAACCTGTTCACGGGCAGGATGGAGAGCGCTCTGGCCATTTTACAGGTAGAGATACTTTCCCCTGATCCTTCCGGCTCATGGCACATTAACTGATCCAGAACCAGCTGCTAACATCACGGATCTGTGTTTGCTTTGGCAGAACGCCTTGAAGTCAGCCCATGACAGGAGCATCGCCGATCACCTGACAGCCAGAGACCGGGCCTTGGTCTGGCTCTCCTACATCCACCTGACGGAGTTCGACCGGCTGCCGTCCGGCCCGTACGACCCGGCGGAGTCCGGTCCGTCCAGACTGGTCAGCAGAGAGTCCTTCCTGCTGCCGTGGAAGACGCCGCAGGACGTCAGCACGCCGCTCGACATCCTCATCGCTCTCTTCCAAGGTACAGAAGCCGACACCAGAGGAAACGCTTCGGGTTCAGGTCTTAGTTCGACTCTGTGGTCTCTGACTCTCTGACGTGGTTTCTCCCTCAGACGCCGTCCACCAGTGCAGCGACGAGTCTCTGTCTCCGAGCGAGAGGACGCTGGCCTGTCTGCCTCTCCACACCAACCTCATCTTCCTCTACAGACTGCTGCAGAGGTGAGTGAGGAGGACTCACCTGCTTCTACTGAGCTCATGAAGCTCATGATGTCACCAGGTGTCTGTGGGAGGAGCTTGTTTCTTGCAGCTTAAAACCGTTAAAACGTGTTGATTAATGGACAGAAGCTCAAACAGTTCAACAGTTTGTAAGAAGCTGATATTTCGTGAGGCGTCCCGGTGGCCAGGTGTTTAGGGCGTGCTGAACTCTCTCTCCTGTATTTCCTGTCTGTCTCCGCTCTCTCTGTCAAAATAAAGGCGTGGAACAGTAAGTCGATGATGTGTTGTTTGGAGCGGTGAGGTCACAATGTGAACAGCGTCTTGTCGACCGTCTTCAGCTCTGTATGAAGATGCCAGTGTTGTTGTCGTGTCCCTGCAGGTACGACGAGGGCGTCGTCCTGTGTGAGTCTCTGCTGGAGGCGTGTCCTGAGTCCTGCGCGCTGCGAGACGCTCTGGCCGACCTCCACATCAGGAAGGGAGACGGCGATCAGGCGGTCAGCATGTGGCTCCACGCTCTGGCCGAGTGTCCCAACAACGCAGAGGTCTTCTATCACTCCTGCAAGTTCCTCATGTCCCAGGTGAGCTCAGGTGTTCACCTGGTTTTTGTATTCGCTCGCGCCGGCGTCAGTCAGAGCGGCAGCCATTTTGTTTTCATTTTGTCTCCTTCTCATGGACACGATGTCTCAGTGACGCCTTGAAGCAACTTCTTCAGATTTGGCAGAAACATTCACCAGGACTCAAGGACGAACTGATTAGACTTTGGTGGTCAAAGGTCAAAGGTCAAGGTCACGATGACCTCACAAAACACTTTTTTATCCATTACTCAAGACGTCACACACGGTTCATATTCTCTCTGACTCTGGATGAACAGGATGTGACCTGGAACTAGTCTGAGTGGCGGAGGGATACGACCATATTTATACAGTGAAACTCGTGTTGACGAGAAACACAAACGTATTTTTCCACCAGAAACGTCCGTCATGAGAAAAGAAAAAAGACTGTTGATTTAACATGATGAAACATGTTGTTGTCTCTGATCACACCAGTTCATGTCGGTGTTTCCCGCTCCACAGGAGAAGTCGAGCGCCGTGGTTCCTCTGTTCCGAGGCTTCGTCCTGTCTCTGTGTGACGACGAACATGGGCAGAAGAAGCCGGAGGACGTTCTGCGGTACATCGTGAAGCTCTGACACTCGGACAGACACAGATCAAGCAGTAGAATGATACGTGGCGGCAGCCGTGTTACGACCTCAGACCAGTTACAGTCTGTTTTTTCTCTTCCATCAGTCACATCCTGGGTTTCCCCACCGAGGAGCTGCTGCGAGGCCCCGTCATCAAGAAGGATCTTCAGGAGCAGCTCAGTCAGCAGACGCCTCACCTCCACCTCATTCACTGGTGTGTGTTTCCTGTTACTGCCCCAGATTCTCCCGCTCGTCTCTGAGGAGCCAACCTTAATATACATAAAAATATATTTATAATATAAATAAATATATTTATTAGTTCATGAATAAATATTAGAAAAACAATGTGAAGGTTTTTAACAGTGAGAACGTTTCCTTTTCCTGTTAGCTAAATGATTAGCTTAGCCGTTTAGCTTCTCCTGTTAGCCTCTCTGTGACAGGGCGTCAGTGCTGGTAAAAACCAGGCTAAACAATCCCATTGGCCATGGGCTGTAACAAGCTCTCTGATTGGTTGGAGAGCTGACTAGTGGGTTTTACATTGAATCCTTTTTGTACAGTAACGTAGAAACTCCTCGGACGTCGTGTAGAAGAAAATCATTTTATCATCAACTCATTTTAGAGTCAGTGGATCAGTGTGATCAGTTTGTAGTGACAGATGAATCTATACTGAGCTGCTTCAGTGTGACATCACTTCCTCTCTGATGTCCCTCCAGAATAAAGCTCCAGAGAAACAGAGTCTGCAGAACAGTTTCACAGTAAAACATCATGATACACTGCAGACAGGAAGTGATCACAGCTGATCTCTGGCCGGCGTTCTGTTGTTGGTTCTGTAGAGAACATGTTCTGTGTAGGTCCCTCAGGTGACTGTGTTGTGTTGTTCAGTCGCTGGCAGTGGCTTCACGGCTCAGCGGAGGACACGGTGGACGCCTTTGAGAGAGCGCTGGGATCGGCCATGCAGCTGGACGAGCTTCACAAACTGTGGATGGAGTGAGTTATCGATCAGTCGCCAATCAATATCATTAATCATGATGTACTGTAGATGAACACGGCCCTCCCTCCTCAGTTACCTGGTGTTCAGCAGCAGTCAGCTGACTCGTGGTCCCACCAGCTCTCAGTCCAGACTGATCTCAGACCTGGTGCAGCGCTGCCTGAGCACCGTCCCGTCTCGACTGGAGGTTCCCTTCAACCCCGCAGAGTTCTGGAGCTGCTACCGCTTCCACAACAAGGTCCGCCCCCCCCCCCAGGTCAAAGCGTTGTACTCCCACACTGTCAGGACGCTGCCTTGCTCATGAGCACCTGGTCACTGTTGACCTTTGTCTCTGTTCACTGGATCCTCAGGTGGTGTCTTTCTACCTGAGCTGCCTGCCCCAGTCCCAGCATGCACTGGTGCTGGAGAGACTGAGATACGCCATGCCCAACAACACTGAGCTGGGCCTGAGGTACACACACACACACACACACACACACACACACACACACACACACACAGAGACACACACACATACACACACTGATGACTGTGTTTTAAAAACAGTGTTAGCTAATAAACATCTGCAGCACAGACGGACAGACAGACAAACAGATAGGACAGACAGACAAAGGACAGACAGACAAGTCTCTGAGACAGCAGTGTCAGTGCTGTGTGTGTGTCCAGGTTGCTGCGTCAGGAGTGGCAGGACGGGAACATGGAACACCTGAAGTTCCAGTCCAGGATGTTGAGCAGCAACTGTCCCAGGAGTGTGTCCAGCTGGAGGATGTGAGTACCTGAGACCGCTCCACGTCTTCAGTGACTGTCAGTGTCTCCCTCACGCCTGACGGAACTAAAAACGTTCACCTGGACTCGAGGATGAACTGATTAGAATTTGGTGGCTAATGGTCAAAGTTCAAAGGTCACGGTCACGGTGACCTCACAAAACGTGATTTTGGGTTTGTGAACTCCTGGAGAGAATCACTTCACACTCGGTACAAACATTCATGACTCCAGAGCTCGAGACTTCACAGCAGCTATGACAAACTTTCACACAGATGGTTCATATCTTGTGTGACTCTGGACGAACAGGAAGTGACCTGGGACTAGTCTGAGTGGCGGAGGGATACGACCACGAGGAGGAGGTCGTAGTGAGTGTTTGCCGAGTGAGGCTGACGTGTGTCTCTCTCTCTCTGCAGAGCGATAGCTGTGGAGAGGGAGCTGAAGGAGCGATCGGAGGTGAGTCAGTGATGGAGGGATGAGTGAGTGAACGGGTCTTCTTCTCTTGTAAAAACGCGGCGTGAGTCAGAACCTGCTGCGGCCTGTTGATGATCACTTCCTGTCTCTGGCTCTCTCTGCAGGCTCTGTATCAGCGTCACAGTAATGTGTAGCTTAACCTCTGACCTCATCCCACACTGTGTGTCTGTCCTCGTCCTGTTGAACTGATGCTCCTGCTGTTTGTTTGTTTGTTTGTTTTTGTTTGTTTGTTTGTTTGTTTTTTCTCCCCTCTTTTATTTGATTGTTTTGTTTTTGTAGGTGAGACTTCTCTATCAGCAGGCGCTCCAAAACCTCCCACTGTGTGCTGCCCTGTGGAAAGATGTAATTCACCCCTTCACTTTCTCTAACACACACACACACACACACACACACGCACGCACGCACGCTGTCACCTCACCTGTCTCAGTCACACCTGGTCTGACTGGTACAGGTGTACCTGACGAACACCTGTGTGTCAGGTTCACCTGTATGGAGTCTGGACTGAAGCAGGTGAAGTGACGGGTGGAAACTGTCTCTTTCTCTTGTTTATATCACACCTGTATACACGCATGTTCACCTGAGCCCCCTCATCCCCCCCATCTCCTCTCTCTCCTTCCCCTCTTTCCCCTCTCTTAATGTCTGCCCCCCCTCCTCTCCCTCTCTCTCCTCCACCCCCCCGTCTCCCCCTCCAGCGGCTGCTGTTTGAAGCGGCAGAAGGCGGAGCCTCAGAGCGGCTCAGGCGGTTGGTGGACTGGTGTCAGCAGGTGGGAGTGAGTTTAGTCGGTCGAGTTCAGACTGAAGATCACTGACGTCTTTGGCTCCGCCCCCTCTACCTCAGACTACACCTGTACTGTTCTCCCCCCCGACAATAACAAAGCAGCTGATTGGCTGCAGATGATTGAGTGAGAGCAGACAATCAGACGAGGTAAGACAGACGTCCCCCCCTCCGCCTCCCCCAGGACTCCTCGGAGGCCCCCCCTCCCTCCAGTGTCCACATGTGGACAGCTAATGTCCGTCTCACCTGTACGTAAGTATCGAGCTGCTGAGTGACAGTGTCTCACTTCATGTCCTTCTGTTTCTCTCACTTTCATTTGGATTCATCTCCCTCCTTTTGTTTTAAGTTCCCTGAGGGGGGGGTGGGGGCGGGGCCGTTAGGTGGGACGGACCGTGACATCTCACTGTGGTGTTTTGGACCCCCCCCCCCCAGTGTGTGTTTTAAAGGATGCCCCCTCCGCCACCCCCCTCCCTCCCTCCTGTAGTGATGCTGCATTGTCTTTTCTTTGTGTCCCAGAGGAAAAACAAGACTTTTATTTTGTTAAAACTGATCAAACTGATTATTGATCTGATTATTGATCTGGCTGCGGCCTGGGTAGTATTTTCTATTTGGCTGAGAGAGAGAGAGAAAGAGAGAGAGAGAGAGAGAGAGAGAGAGAGAGACTGCCACAGAGACTGATCCTCGCCGAGTCCAGCTCCGGGACGTCCTGTAGAGACAGTCAGGACTCGGTCACATGACCTCATGTGCAATTTGTCTTTTTTCTTTTTGTCAAAATTCTGCCACAGAATCATTAAAGAGTATTGATTATTGATTAGCAAGGAGAGGAGACAAAGTCCTTCACTGTGTTTTTTACATGTTGGATTCAAATGTTATTAAATTATTTTCTAAAGAAACTCGAATGTCTCCTGAGTGTTTATTGTGTCTTATTATTGATCTGTTGATTCTTTCTGATCGATTGTTCAGTCAGCAGGGAGAAATGCCCTTCACAATAAGAGCATGTCACATCAAACTGAGAAAAACAGAGAAAATTAGACTTTTCAGAGGATAATTATGTAAAAATTATAAACTTTATTTCTATAGCACTTTTCTTATCAAAGTCACAAAGAGCTTCCAGAAAGAAAAAGGGGAATTAGAAACAAAAACAAACATAAAACAGAAGTAAGTTACATGAAAATAAAAATGAAAGTAACTCACTAAATAAGTGAGTTTTAATCAATGAATTTTTCAGCTTCTTGTTTCAACACTTACATTTCTGTATTTTAAAAGTTTCATGTGATTATGAAACACCAGCTGAAAAAAGCTGAATCTCTGCCGGACAGAGTTAAAATCACAAATATTAAGAAAACCATAAATGTTTCAAATGATAATTAGTCTCACTTAATGATTAACAGATAAAACAACAAAGAGATGAAACGATATCAAAGGTGTTTATTCTAGATCCTAATGAAGAAAATAGAACTTTGACTTTTACTGTTCGAAACACTTTGTGTGTGTGTCAGAGAGAACACTGATCCAGGATCAGTCTGAAGCTGATACTTGTATTGATCATCACTGAAGACTGATTGGTTCCTTCTCCTTCAGTCAGGATAATGTTACTTTTATTTCTCGAATCCTTTATTATTCAAAACATTTTCTATTTCATCTTATTAACGTTTTAAACTTTGAAGACGGAGGAAAATGAAAACGTCTGAAATCAGATTCAGAAGGACGAAACTTAATTATATAAACAACAACAACAAAGAAAACGACAGCAATAACATCTTTAAAAACAGCTTTATTAATGGTTCATTGATCAGTTATTAATGGTTCATTGATCAGTTATCACTTATTATCTTCCAGGACGACACTTTGTCTTTTTAAAACTTAAATTAATTAAGGAGCTGTCACCTCGTCATCAGCTCTACAATCATAAAATCATGAATAAATCATTAATTAAAGGTTCAACAGTCGTCCATCAGGTCCAGATGTTCTGCAGATGTTTAACAGAGGTGATCAATTAAGTGATTAAAGACAGAGTGGTGCTGAGGTATGAATCAATAATGAAGCTGTTAATTAACTGTAACCGACTCTGGGTTGTTTGATTCCCCTCACATGAAGGTGAAGAGGTTCAGGACTGAAAGCTCCTGCAGTAAGAAACCCTTTACAGTGACTCGCTGAGCCGTGGAGCGAGGACCAGGTGGATCAGAGGGTCCACACAGCAGGACAGAGACCAGAGGACGAGCTCCGCACATGTGGAAACATCTGGACTGAGGAGGGGGAGGAGGGAGGCAGAGGAGCACAGCAGGCTGTGTGTGAGGACGGTCAGAGATACAGGATCCTGAGGGGGGAGACGGGGGGGACGGGGGATGTGGGTGAGGACCATGAACAGGAAGCAGAAGGTGTTGAAGAGGACCAGAGCAGAGCTGTGAGTCCAGAGACCCGTCTCCATGACAACCAGGGTCAGAGCGATGCTGCAGCACACCACACAGCTGATCTGAAGACAGCTCCGGGTCCTGGTGTTACCCCCCACCACGGCCCCCACCATGACGAACACACACACCTCAGACAACAGGGAGGACAGGAACAGTCCCGGTCCCGGATCCTGGACGAGGCCCGATCCACAGAGACCCGCCAGGAGGCGGAGCCAGAAGAGGACAGAGGGGAGGCGGGGGGAGGAGGAGGAGGAGGGGGGAGGTGCGGGGGCCGAGGGGAGGAGGAGGGTGGAGAGAAGGACCAGCAGGTTGAAGACGACGGAGACGATGAAGATGAAGTGAAGAGAGTCCAGACAACAGGTGGACAGACCTGCAGGTGGAGACAGGTGAGACATTTAGACCAGGTGTCTCTCAGCTGACGACGAGTTTCATTTAGATATGATTAAAAACTTCAATTATAAACAAACAAACAAACAAACAAACAAACAAACAATCTGCTTCATTTGATTCTAGTTCTATTGCACCATATCATCCTCTCTCTCTCTGTCTCTCTCTCTCTCTCTCTCTCTCTCTCTGTCTCTCTCTCTCTCTCTGTCTCTCTCTCTCTGTCTCTCTCTGTCTCTCTCTCTGTCTCTCTCTGTCTCTCTTCAAATTTTTTAACTTCAACTGCCTGGTCTGTCACTTTTCAGTGTCCCTAACCCTGACCGACACAAAGGACTGTGGGTAATGTCTCAGACTAGATGTGAGTCTTCTTACTGCTGCTGTCCTCAGTGTCCTCAGTGTCCTCCAGGGTCAAGGACTGGACACAGTGAAGAAACACGCAGCAGCAGAAATTCACCTGCAGCTCTGAAACTCTGAAAGACGGAGAGAGAGAGAGAGAGAGAGAGAGAGAGAGAGAGA